GGCAAACTTGTGGCCGCTATGCACGGATATATAAGTGAGCCTAGCTGCGCTCCTTGCAGTCAGTCTACTCTCTTCTACACCATGAGGATTGTTGTAAGTTGATGAGGATTGTCTGTTAGGGTGTTGGGTGTGTGTTAGTGTGTCAGTACAGTGTCAGTTTAGCATGGTTTAGTATGGTGTTCGTATGGTTTTACCGTATTTACAGAATGGTGTTATCATGGTATGAGTATGGTTTTATTATGGTGCTATATGGTGTTATATGTTATTATTGTGTTATGATGATTTTATGGTATCACAAAGGTGTTGATGTTACAATGGTGCCAGTGTTACTAATAAAGGAAAATATATTTCGTCCGAGAAATAAACTCTTAATTATAAGATATATTTCACGTGATTCTCCAGCTAACAATCTATTGTGTATTGCAATCAACAGTTGTCTTACAGCTGGTGAATGGTTCTTAATCTAAGAAATTAAAATTTAACTTCCCTTCCCGTCGATCAGGAGCCCTTCACTAGCTGAAGAATGAGACACAACCTTCACATCACCCTTCACTAGCTTTAAGCCTTAATTTCATTCCTTGAATTAATGATGCAATAATGGGGTAATTCTCATGAAGATTTCGATCTTGATGTATTAATTAGAAACTATTTTCTTTTGTGAGTAATAAGAGTGTTGGTTGGACAGGTGTGTGTGCTTCTCGCAGTTGCTGGACTAGCGTCCGGCCGAGTGCCAGCCAGTTTCCAGGATCCTGCTACCCTCTCTGTTGATGCCTCTCCCGGAGGTCCACCTTCTGCAGGTGCCTCTCATGGTGCTGCTGCCGCGGCTCCCGCTGCTGCTGCAGGTAGACTGGCTCCCACACAACAGAACTTGGGCCCAAATTTCTTCGGTCCAGGACTCAACAACCCGTTGGCCGTCCCTGTCCACCCCTTGGTGGCACAACAAGCACAGAGGATAACAGCTGCTAACCCCAATCTTAGAGTGGTGAGTAGAGATTAAAAATTTTATTAGTTTTGCGACTGGACAAGACCGCTATGATTTATACAATTTCATTTAAATTTAGAAATACGAATCATAATGTATTAAGACTGAGTCTTACGCTGTAAGTATCTAAGTGAACATGTATTACTATATTCAACTTATTTTCTTGACTCATAATCTATTTTGTCTATGTTTGCAGTTTGTTGACATTGACGGCTCAGCGCATTTCACCGACCAGTTCGGCCGAGAAGTTGAGGAAGTTTTGGATGAATTTGGCCGCGATGTCAGTGATTTTCTGGACATTGAGGAACTGCATGAGCAGCTTCTTCGAGCTCAGAGGCAGCAGCTCAACCTGCAGCTGCTTCAGCAGTTCAACACCAACCCCACACCTTTTGACCAGACTGTTGGAGGTGCTGCTAGAACAGCTGATATTGGTGGGGCAGCCAGCGCTGGAGGACAGTCTGCTATTGGCAGCAGATTTCAACAACGACCATTTTACACAATCGTTCTGTAAAGCCTCTTAAAACACCACACTAATACGACCTTTCCAAAGATCGTAGTTGACACCTAGATGAATCCATCTCTTGATTCCACTCTAACTTTACTTCCCAACACTCTAGCTCGCCTGGTCCATCCTATCACCTGATGTTATACGTAGCCTGATCCTCTGTTTCAACTCATCCTTAATCTAGTTAAGAAATGCTGGTCACAAGTTCCTGTAGACCTGTCATCTGATCCTCCAAGTAACTTGATCCTGCTTGTATATTACCTGTTCCTCTACTTCGATGGATTCTTTCGTTACTTAATCTTACCTACTTTCATTCACATGATGCTTTTACCCGTCACAGCATTGTACCTTTCCGTCACCTTTCCTGACTGTCTGACCTTCCCCTTAACACTGTCTCTTCCAGCACATCTTTATCCAGACTATCCTAGAAAACTATCCCGGTATATCATCCTAGTACATTATGTCTACAAAATATTGCAATACTTGTATAAAAAAATTGTAAGTGTTTTTGTATAAATTATTTAAAAATAAATTATCGCACGTGTCTTCAACTTCCCTCTCATTATACTTTAAATAATAATAGTGAAGGGCTCTTGATCAATGGAATTGGAGCAGTCCTCCTCTTCTTACTCCTCACATACACGACCATATTTCTACACTCGGTCCTATAAATCTTGCCGCTAGTATACGACACCGTATTTCAAAATCGTTGTCTCCCACGTGATAAAAACGTAATCCACAACTACGTATGCCACCGCCCTCGCCTCTGTCTCCCACACCGCACCCACATCCAAACTGAGCACCCTCAAAACAGTCATCTTCCCCCTCCCTTCCCCCCACCAAATTTAAAACTTGGGCGAACCTTCCCCGTAGCCCCTCCAGGTGTTCGCAAAAATACACAACATGAAAAGCCGTCTCGTCCCCTCACAGAATCTACAGACTCCAGCTCCCACGAGCCTTCTATTCCTTAACACCGCACCCGACGGCAGGATTCTATGTATGAACCTGAATATCACCTCATGTTCGCTATGTTGGACCATCTACTTGTTAAACCTCCTCCAAATCTCTCCCCAATCATACACAGACTATAACACCATCACCGAGGCCTCTACGTGTCCCAGTAAAGCCCTATATGGCACCCTCACCTGATCCGTTCCGGCTCACCTACCGTCATCACCACTCTCAACAACCGCTCACAATCACGAAAATCGCCACCCTGAAAAGTCTCCCGAAGCACATCATACACCTTTTCTAAGTGCCTTTCCATATAAGCGTCGGTCCGCATCATCACCCTTTTAACATATACGCACATCACCCGTTTACGAAGATCAAACAACCCCAATCCCCCTTCCTCTCTCCGGCAACTTAACCACCTCCTGTAGACAGCCTGTACTGTCTGCACAGACAGCCATGCTGTCTGCCAGCTCAGTTCATATTTCGTGCCACTCAGGTGCTGCCCTCTGGGCCTGTCCAAGTCTGTGGGAAGCTGGTCCCACAAACTCTCACACAGCGGCCTGGCAGCAAGACTTCCATAGTCTGTTTCAGACTATGGAACAATACTCTTCTCCAGACTGAGGGACTGACCACCTCAAAACTTCAAGGGTGATGGACTGATTACATCGTCTTCAAGTCTCTTCTGCTTCTATCAACTTTTCTGTACTCGACTGAAGAAGCCTACTGTGTAGGCGAAACGTTTCGAAGTAAAGATACCTAACTGTTGCATATGTGTCTTACCTAACAAGCCTATACCTTGCGGCCCTCCCACTCACCCAACCCCAGTACCTTGGATATACCCACGTTTGCTGCCATATCCATCGCCCTCCCATACATCTCTACTCCACTCAGCACGTCCAGCTTTGTATATTCGTTAAGCAATAACGTCGTGTCGTCCACATAGCCAACAATCTCCGGGTAAACCCTATTTCCCCCACCCATGACGCCACCAAAATGTTTTTGAAGCACCAACCTACAAAAGGGATTCTGTACTCACGCGAAGAGCATCTGAGACAGCGGACATCCCCTGCCTCAAACCCCTCCCCATGTCCATAACCCTCCCAAACGACCATTAGTCTGGATCCTCGCCTTAGCTTCCCCCTCCCAGTGCGTGTCAACCCATCCCACTATTTCCTCCCCAAACCCTTGGCTAAGGATAATTGTTCCTGTGGCATCCCTTTCAACTGAATCATACGCCCCCTCCAGTTTAGGGCCAATAAATCCCCTTTCCTCTCCCTCTTACTCGTGTCTCCCACAGCATCATCAATAATGGAATATCCAGTAAACATTGACCTACCCGGAAGGTCATACTGTCCCGATGAGACAACACGATCGACGAGGCACTTAATACGGTTACCCAACACTTTGGCAAACAATTTATAGTCAGCACAACAGAGAAATCGCCCTATAATGCCCAAGACCCCTCTGCCTCTTCCCCTTCGGCACCAACACTACCACTGCCGTTGGCTGCACACACCCCAGCCTACCCCCGTCTTTCATCTCATTCAGTAATCTTTTTGCAAAAAAAACTCACGCAAAACGTTCCAATGTTATACATAAAATTCCACCGGAATCCCATTCCATTCCATGGTACTGAGTGAGATTATAAATCTTGAACTGTTATCACCTTGCTTTTAAGATATTTTTAGATTTATAGGAAAATTTAAAACACACGCACACAGATGAATCACAGGGATGTTAGGAAGTATTTCTTCAGTCACAGGGTAGTCAGGAAGTGGAATAGTTTGGGAAGCGATGTAGTAGAGGCAGGATCCATACATAGCTTTAAGCAGAGGTATGATAAAGCTCATGGTGCAAGGAGAGTGACCCAGTAACGGCCAGTGAAGTGGCGGGGCCAGGAGCTATGAATCAACCCTTGCAACCACAACTAGGTGAGTACACACACACACACACACACACACACACACACACACACACATATATATATATATATATATATATATATATATATATATATATATATATATAATATATATATATATATATATATATATATATATATATATATATATATATATATATATATATATATATATAATATATATATAATATATATACGTGTATGTTTTAAATATACATACTTCTTGGAATATATACCGAGAAGTATATATAATTTTATATACATAAAGAGATATGTATCTTTCAGTGTATATACGCCGAGTGGTGAATATGCACTATATCTTTGCTTACATACACTGAGAAGTTTATGTATAGGTAACAAGCAGCCTTAATAACCCTACAGTAATCGACAGCCTTCGACCCCAGCAAAGTAACTATACAAACCTCCTAACTAATATAATTTGCACCTGAAGAATTACATTTTAGCTTACCTAATCATTGATTGTAATTAAAATTGCCAGGAGAGAGTAAATTTGGCTTAAATAATGGTTTATTATATAAAATACCTGGCCTCTGCGGCACTTTCCGGACTCCGGCTTAGGTTATTTGAGTCAGTTGTCACTGAGTCAGTGTTGTGGTGTGATGTTGGTGTTACTTATAATTTTTTCAATTTTATTATTGTATAGAAAGTGGTGTGAGTCAGTGTTGTGGTATGGTGATGTTATTCACAGATTTTTTTCAATTTTATTGTGTTTAATGTGTAAATATCGTCAAGGATGTACATCATTCTACAGTCTACTGTGGTGATTATTTCTTGAACGGGAGGAATGATGAGGTAAGACATGACAGCGGAATTACTTGTCCACAGTGACGTTGTCTTCTCGTGGAATAGGATAATCAGTGGCGTAGGATTTTTAATATGTCCATCCTCACGGTAATACGGAAACAAGAAAAACATTGCGCGCATATACACGGGGTATTGGTATGGTTTTGCCCACCTAGACGTGTATATAAACTTGTATATATCTTCATTCATATATAAAAATATATATACCTAAAGGTGTGTGCGCGCGTGTATATATTGTTAATGGTTATAAAACACTTGGTGTTATACAGGAAACATGTGAATAACTGGTTGGCAGTTAACTTACAATTTCCACAAGGGGGAGGGGGGTGAGAGGGCTGTTGAAGCGAGGTATTGAACCTATTTTCCTTTCGTTGGATCGATCCCTGTTACATTCCTCATGACTTATGTCTCCCACAATTCCGCCCATGGTTCAATATCTTTATAAATTAAGAACTGACGGGTAAATAAAGATTATTAATGGAACATTGGCCGGGCCGCAAGGTTGGCTTTCCGTTAAATGGCTTTCGGGTAAATGGCTGTTTAATGGCTTTCGGGAAAATGGTTTTCGGGTAAATGGCTTTGTTAAATGGCTTTTGGTAAATGATTTTCGGGTAAATTATTTTCGGGTAAATGGCTTTCGGGTAAATGGCTTTCGGGTAAATGGCTTTCGGGTAAATGGCTTTCGGGTAAATGGCTTTCGGGTAAATGGCTTTGTTAAATGGCTTTATATGGCTTTGTTAAATGGCTTTCAGGTAAATGGCTTCGTTAAATGGCTTTGTTAAATGATTTTCGGGTAAATTATTTTCGGGTAAATGGCTTTCGGGTAAATGGCTTTCGGGTAAATGGCTTTGTTAAATGGCTTTGCTATATGGCTTTCGGGTGAATGGCTTTGTTAAATAGCTTTTGGTAAAAGATTTTCGGGTAAATGGCTTTAAATGGCTTTGTTAAACATATTTCGGGTAAATGGCTTTCGGGTCAATGGCTTTTGTTAAATGGTTTTCGGGTAAATGGCTTTGGGTTAAATGGCTTTCGGGTAAATGGCTTTCGGGTAAATGGCTTTCGGGTAAATGGCTTTTGGTAAATGGCTTTCGGGCAAATAGCTTTCGGGTAAATGACTTTCGGGCAAATAGCTTTCGAGTAAATTGCTTTCGGGTAAATGGCTTTCCTGTAAATGGTTTTCCGGAAATGACCTTCAGTTAAATGGCTTTCTGTAAATGGCTTTCGGGTAAGTGGCTTTCGGGTAAATCTTTCGATAAATGGCTTTCTGTTAAATGGCTTTGTTAAATGGCTTTCGGTAAATGGCTTTCGGGCAAATGGCTTTCAGGCAAATTGCTTTCGGTTTATAGCTTTCGGTAAATGGCTTTCGGGTAAATGGCTTTCGGGTAAATGGCTTTCGGGTAAATGGCTTTCGGGTAAATGGCTTCGGGTAAATGGCTTTCGAGTAAGTGGCTTTCAGGTAAATGTCTTTCGATAAATGGCTGTTAAATGGCTTTCGGTAAATGGCTTTCAGGCAAATGGCTTTCGGTTAATAGCTTTCGGTAAATGGTTTTCGGGTAAATGGCTTTCGGGTAAATGGCTTTCTGTAAATAGCTTTCGGGTAAATGGCTTTCGGGTAAATGGCTTTCGGGTAAATGACTTTCGGGTAAATGGCTTTCGGGTAAATGGCTTTCGGTTTAATGGTTTTCGGTTAAATGACTTTAGGTTAAAAGGCTATCGGTGAAAATGGCTTTTGATGAGATGGCTTTTTAGTGGGTTTTTATGAGATGGGGGTTTTTTATGAGATGGGTTTTATGAGGGGCTTTGAAAAGGGGCTTTTTTAAAATTAAGAACTGACGGTAAATAAAGATTATT